ACACACACACACACACACACACACACAAATCCACAGTTGATTAACATCAAAAAGAAACTTCACTCTCTATACTCAGGAAAGGAAAAGCTCAAAAGTTATACTTCATGGCTACTGAACAAGTTTAGGCTTTCAAATGAGATTCTTTCCATTGATTCTATAACTTATCCAATTACTCGTTCAACATGTTGAATTTCTACTGAGTAAAAGGCACATGTTTCAGGACACAAATTATATCAATTTCAAATACAATTGAGGCAGCCTAAGGAGTGTATGTAAGACCCAGGGCAAACTATTTGGTCTGCCTGAACTTTAATATTCTTATCTATAAAATAGTGGTGATAATAACTATGCTACCCCAACAATTTATTACCAGGATCAAATGAGGTACTAAAACATGGAACAGAAAAGCATTTTCACATATTAAATCCACAGTAAGTTTCTATAACAACTCAAGAGCTCATCTTGTCTCCAGGAGCACAATAAGAGACTGTTTCACTACATGATTAATGTAACAAATATTTAAGAGTCTAACACATTATGATGTGTTCAAGTACTAAAGTGCTTTAAAAATGTAGTAAGTACAGGCTGGGTGCAGTGGTTCATGCCTGTAATTTTGGCACTTTAGGAGGTGAGGTGGGTGGATCACTTGAGGCCAGGAGTTTGAAACCAGCCTGGCCAACATGGCAAAACCCCGTCTCTACTAAAAATACAAAAATTAGCCAGGCATGGTGATGCACACCTGTACTGTAGTCCCAGCTACTTGAGAGGCTGAGGCAGAAGAATCTCTTAAACCTGGGAGGCAGAGGTGGCAGTGAGGTGAGAGGGTCATGCCACTGCACTCCAGCCTGAGTGACAGAGCAAGACTCCATCTCAAAAAAAAAAAAAAAAAAAAGTAGTAAGCACAAATGCTTTCCTTAGGAAGCTTACATTATAGTAGGGATAATAGAACTCTCAAATAACCACAGTACAATGCAAATTTAACAAGTATTATAAGATTTATAAAGCCCAGCACACATGAAGAAAAAAAATGGGCTGGGCGTGGTGGCTCACGCCTGTAATCCCAACACTTTGGGAGGTCAAGGCAAGTGGATCACCTGAGGTCAGGAGTTCAAGACCAGCCTGGCCAACATGGTGAAACCCCGTCTCAACTAAAAATACAAAATAATTAGCTGGGCATGGTGGTGGGCACTTGTAATCCCAGCTACTTCGGGAGGCTGAGGCAGGAGAATTGCCCTAACCTTGGAAGCGGAGGTTGCAGGGAGCCAAGATCACACCATTGCACTCCAGCCTGGGCAACAAGAGCAAAACTCTGTCTCAAAAGAAGAGAAAAAGAAAAAGAAAAAAAGAATGAACTGGATTTGGCAGATTTCAGAAAGCTGCATAAGAAAGAGGTGGCATTTAAGGAATTGAAGAATAAGTAGAATTTCTACAAAGACAGCAAGGAAGGCCTTCCTTGTTTCTTCTTTGTAGGAAGAAAGGATAAAAGCAAAGACCAAGGCAGATAGGCATATAGCATGTTCAGAAACTGGACGTCTAATTAACTACTACAGTTTGGCTAAAAAATAGGATATGTGGGAAAAAGTAATATTTGTTTAACAGAATAAAAGGAAAAAAGAATTAAAGGATCATATTGATTTTACTGGAGCCATAGTCAGACTGAAATTTTGAAGGAAAAATTTGAAGCCTCCCTAAATAATATACAGTGTATTAAATGCCTCCCTAAATAATTTACATTTTATTCTGAAGCCGATCGAGAATCACTGGCGTATTTCTGAGGAAGGAATAACCAAAAAAAGAAAGGCATAAGATCTTTGGCTTTAAAAGTAATTTGGAGGCAAGTAACTGGAAAGGCGCCAGGCTGAGGACAAGTCCAGTTTGGAAGTTACTGCTCTAGCGCAAGTAAGAAGAGGAAAGCCGAGCATATTTAGCAGAGAGGTAGTGGGAATGAAAAGGGGGAGAACCAAATTTGAGATGCTGAAGAGATAGAATCAACAGTTGGGAGGAAAGTTAGCATCAGAAATTTTACGTTTACAAGTCATTCCCTTGAAACACCCTGAGTTTACCAGTGAAAGTGAATAAGAACACCAAGTAAGAAACTGCACCAAATTTCACCTTTAACTACTAAAGCCGAAAGATGACTTCAAAAACAAAAAGACTTAATTTTCAAATACTGCATTTAAGAGAACATAATAAAAGATCGTCTTTTACTATAAAGCAATGCACCCACACACCTGTTCTGATGAGAATTTCACCCCGCCTCAAACAGTCCTTGTGTTCTTACTAGCCTTACCAAGGGCAGCCTTTCCATTTCTTTAAGTTCCTGCGGCTTCTTGAGCTCCAGGTGCTGGTTGGGTGCATCTGTGCCTACCACAGGGCTCAACACCGAGTGAGAGCTCATGGGATGTTCACTGAAGGGATGTGACCCCAGCCGGGCCCAGCCGTCACTAGCTCCGCACGCCCCAGGCGCTGAGGCACACACTGCCGTCTTCATTCGCTTGACACACCCCTCTCCTCGGGCCTTTTTTCCTCCTCCACCCAGCACATTCCGCACGTCGTCCGTCGGAGTTACAACGTGTCACCTCATCTGCTCCCAACCCTATTTAGCTAGCACTGTATTTCAGGTCTTCGATACCGTCCCCTTCACCCCTGCAGACTTCACATCAGCCCCCTCGCATGCCTCCTCTTCCTCCTCCTCCTCCTCCTCCTCCTCCTCCAGGAGCTGCCCGGGCCACCCCGCAGCCGCTGGCCTCCTGGCTCCTGCCTCTCCCCAGGTGCGCTCAGGACTCACCTCCCGCGCAGCTCGACCG